GAAAATAGAAGCAATTCAAAATTTCCCCATACCAGTAGATGTAAAGGGAGTACAAGCATTCTTAGGTCTTGTCGGTTATTTTTGATCCTATATACAGAATTTTGCTCTAAAGGCAAAACCACTGTATATCCTTCTGAAAAAGGATACAGCTTTCAAATGGGAAAAAATGCAACAAGATGCTGTAGAATGTCTTAAGAAATGTTTGTTGTCGGCGCCTGTACTTTCCTTCCCTGATTTTGACCAAGAATTTATTCTTACCACAGACGCTTCTGCTATTGCCATAGGAGCAATACTCACACAGAAACCAGGTAAGAGGGAAGTATTAATTGGATGTGCGAGCCGGACACTCAATGATGCGGAATCGAGATACCCTAAATACTGATAGAGAATTACCAGCAGTATATTATGGTGTTTCACAGTTTTGCTCATATCTATGGGGACATCCTTTCGTAATACGAACTGATCATATTGCTATCCCCTACCTAAGTCGTCAGAGACAGAGCAACAGTTGAAGGGCAATCGCTTGGTTTATGAAACTCAACGAATATGAATATCAAGTTGAGTATAAAAAGGGACTTTCGATCCCTCATGCTGACGCCTTATGCCGATTTCCCCCCAATCAGAAAACTAAGAAACTGTGTGCCTTTTTGTCTCCTGTCTTGCTCGAAACTAATCTGATTCCTTACATTTCTAGAAGCTTGTTACAGCGCGCTACTGCCTCCTTGAAGGGAAAAATTCCTTTCGGAGAAGAATTTCGCATGCAGGATGGATTGTTGATGAAGAAGACGACCAACGGGCAACGCATTTGGGTTCCGCCTTCTTTGAGAGAAAAGATAATTTCCAGTTTTCATGATCCGCCATCTATGGGTCATTGCGGAATCAATAAAACTTCCTTTGCTATTCGAGAAGAATTTACTTGGCCCAATATTGAGAAGGATGTTACGTCATATGTCCGTTCCTGTATCGAATGTCAGAAAACTAAGAATTTCTCCCACAAGACACCCTACTTGAGCACAGGTATTCCGAAGAATTGTTTTGAAGATGTTAGTGTTGACGTGGTGGGCCCCGTACCAAACAGTCAAAGAGGAAATAGATATATTCTAGTAATTCAAGATTGGTTGTCTCGCTGGATAGTCTTCTCAGCAATGAAAGACGCATCTGCCAAGACCACCGCTAGATTATTCCTGACCAAATGGGTTTGTATGTTTGGAGCTCCAAAGAGAATTTTAACCGATCGCGGGACAAACTTTGTAAGTAGTGTGTTTTGCAATATGGCTAGTTTCCTGGGAGCTCAGGCAAATACAACTACAGCCTATTGGCCCCAAGGTAATGGGCAAAATGAAAGGTCTCATCGCGAGTTACACAAATACCTGGCGCTCTATCTAGACCTGGAAAATAGGAGTACCTGGGATGAACTACTCAAACTAGCAGCATGGGTCCATAACAGCTCTAACCACAAAGCTTTACAAGCCTCTCCCTTTGAGATAGTAACAGGAATGAAACCAAGAAGAAATTGGCTTTCTAGCCAACAAAACTTGGAACAATTCCAAAGCATAAGGGAATATTATGAGGTAAAAAAGGAACAGCTTGAATCCTTAAGAGAACAAGCCCAAGCGGCCATTAGAAAGGGCCAAGCTTCGTATTTAGAACGGTTAAATGTACACCGGAAGGGAACAGCTTATAATGTAGGAGACAAAATTTGGCTTAAACAACAACCCCTCTCCTTTGTGGGAAAGAAATGGAGTGCCAAATACAAAGGTCCCTACACAATTATTGAAATTGTCAATCCCGTCGTGGTGCGCATTCGAGACGACCAGCATAGCAGTTGGACCGATGTAGTACATACTAGTTATATTCGACCTTTTAAAGTCCGAAATGCAGATTCTACTAACTTAGACACCAACCTAGAAATTGAAGAAATAGAAGACTTTGATGAAGTCGAGCAGAAGGTTTTTCCCAATGCGCAACCCAAGAAATGGTCTACTCCAGCACACAAACTAGAGAAACCCGTTGAAAAAACAGATGATGCTGAAATCACTCAATCATTGATGGAGAATGAGACTGAAGAAGTAGAAGCAGAAATTCCAGAAGAGCCCGAAGAGATAGCCAATAAATCAGCTGCTTTCGACGTGTTTGCTCCTGATATGATGTTCTATGGAACACCCACTCATTCTCCTAACGCGGAAACAACAGAAGTCGGAAATGAATCCTTTGCTTCCACTGAGGATGCTAATAAGACTGTTATAGCTACTCCAAAATCTAGCAAAATTAATAAGTCCTTTCTTTCAGAAGTGACGACGGAACTTGGAAAGTTTTTCTCTCCAGGATCAGGTTCAGACGACAATGAACCGCCTGAGACAACCTTGCCAGCCGTCACCAACAGTGTCCTTGCACCACCGGAGTCATCCAGTACTCCTAGAAGGTCACAGATGCCACTGCAACAGACTCCAGACAGAGGAGCGACCGCAGCAGTCAACCCTGACGCAGCAAAATCCAAGAGTCAGAAGAAGAAAGAAAGAAAGAAAGAAGCTAAAAAGAAACAACAGGAAGCAGAGCAAAAAGAGATGGAGCAAAAAGAAAAAGGGAACGAGACAGAACCAAACAAGGAAAAAAGATTGGTAAGGCCACGCATGTTGAGCGGAATAGATAGCGACAACATTCTACCTACATGCACGCGCGGGGAAGCCAGAAGGTCAACTTCAGTACCCAGATAAGTACGCAAACTGCGCAGTTATTCTCGAAACGCGCCCGCGTCAACATGTTTTGATTCACGGTTATATTGTTCCATATTCAATTTACAATTCTTTGCAATAGCCTGTTAATCAAAGAAGTGGCAGAAGATCGTGGAATTATATCCAACAGCAACAGGCTAGATAAGATTTCTCCCATTAGAACATTTCCAGGGAACGTAGGAGTAACGATTGAAGATCTAAGTAAAATGTGCATTCCCACAACCTTTTGGACAATGGAATCGTCAGTGGACTTAGGAAAGTTTTACCATTTGGGAGAAAAGGTTCAAAAAAGAGTGTACGATTTTGCGAAGAATGTGAGAAAAGATGTGGAGGAGAATGATTTAAAATTAGCTGGCCCAGCCAATGTATCCATGAAGATGCTGGACCATAAGCTGAGTATGCTAGACCTAACTTTAGATAATCTGGCTATGCGAATTGAAACTGCAGCAAACGACCCGGGGAATGAAAGACCTTATTTGAACCTGTTACCAATTGTTCAGAGAGGAATTTCCCCCCTAACGAAACTACAATCAAATAGCAAAAGAGCATACCTCAGACCATCGTCATTGTTAACATTCACTGACTTTAGTCATGCCAAAGTTTTTGATAAATTAATCGATGACGTTACTTTGACCAATCGTTCTCTAATTAATTTTTGGTTGAAGACTCTTCTTATTGGATCTGAGTTGGGACAACTAAAAAACGTAGCCAATACTATCCAAGGGGATATCGAATCAATTAGAGAATTGGCTTTTCCAATTCACATGTTTGACATTGTTCAAGTGCATGGAGTCATGCAAGAAATTCTCGATGTGGAACCTAGATAAACAAAATCCAAAGTAACAGCAACGGATTTGGTTCACATAATTAAGTCAAACCCAGTAACAGTAGGAACGTTCAATTGTGCCAACTTGACAGCCACAGACGGAGAGTGTCATCTCAAGATTATTACAATAGTACAAGTTATTTCTGCAGACGAAGTGATTCATGTTTCAAGGGTACATGCAGTTCCCATAGCCAGAGAAACCTATTTAGGGTCCCCAAAGTGGTTGCAAGCAGAGATTAAACATCCATTTCTGTTAAAGAGAGAAAATCAGTATTACGCAGCCCATGGTACAGAAATACCCATGTGTCTTAGAGGAATAGGACATTCAGGTTGTCAAATTTGCAGAACCAATCATGCCCCTATCAGACCTGCCAGCGAATGCGTTAGAAAGATCCAAATTGGAGAAAATGAAGAAGCAATTCGAGAGGCATGTCCTATGAAACCGATAGTCAGTCCTGAAAATATGGTAGTTCAGTTAGATAGGGACGAATTTGCGTATATAGATACGGACAAGGGCAGGGTAACTCAATATTGTGCTGAAAGTGAAAATGGAACAGTTCCTGCGTCTGAGAATTCATACGAGTTACCATATTCTGGTATCCTAAAATTTAATCAGAATTGTAGATATACTTCAGTGAACGGACCATTCAAAGAAATTCTACCCAAACTAGAAAACGTGGAGATAAACACTGTAGAAGAAGTTCCAGCTTTTAAACCACGAAGTTCAGTAGCTGAAGATATTAGCGAACTACAAATTCATTTCAGAGATCATGGGTACATTTATCTGATAGTGTCAGTAATACTATTGTCTATCATACTAATCAGTATCATGTATTTATGTTTCGCAAAAATACGGTACGTCATCATTCGAAGGCGCAGAAGAAATGCCAACATTATAGAAAGCGCAAATATTGAATTGATACCCTCCAAAAGTGCTCCATTGGCTCCTCAGTACCCCAGATTGCAAATTAGTGCATCAACAGGTTTAATGGCTATCAAGTAATATATGCAAAGAACACCCCTTGAAGGTCTTGAAGGCTCTACTAGATTTGGGATTAGGATTGTGTGGTATTTAGGTTATGCTTAAGTGTGCTTTTATGCTTTTATCCAACTCAGCTTGGTCGTGTGTATTCGTACCGGTATATGTGTGACTGCCTTATACTTGCTTACTTTACTCCTTTGAAAGAGGATCCCGAATACCTGGACAAAGAGAAATGCCCGAAATTGCTGTGGAAAGATGAAAACAAAAAGAGAGAAAATCCAAGGAATGGAGGACCAACATATCTTTATTCATGTCCTCCTAACAACATCAACTCTCTAATCGCGTCAAATATGTGCGCGCGAAGACTAACTAAACTTCGCCCACAGTATAAAAACTGGAGAGGCTTCCACTACGAACAACCTGGCCAGAACCGGGTTGAGTGCGGCGAAAAGTGGGGTGGCTAGAACGAATCTTTGCCAACACCCAAGCACGAAGGAGAGGCCAAGTCCACCTGGCAAGCAACTCTTCCCCGGACAGGGCTTTGGATCGGACCTGATAACAAAAGAGGATCAAGCCAAAGCAAAACAAGCGAGCAGTGACAGACACTCACTGAAAGAGGACATCAAAGGCCTCACTGTGGCAAGAGAAGGAGCCTCAGCCATCTCCAATTCCTCAAACAAAGGATTCAGAACTGACTGAGGCGCCTCTTCCATTTGATTTTCTGCCTCTGATTCCCTCTAACAATTTAACCCAGCACACAAGAAGCACAGCAATAGCAAAAAGCCCAAAAACCCATTAGAAATATGGCTAACCTTCCACCACAAAAAACTACACACCTTCAATTTTATCCTTTTGCAACAGCAGATTGTTAGTACTGCAAAGGGAGAGCCAACACCCAATACTCCAATTATCCAAACCAAAGCTTCCAGTAACCATTGTGGAAACTCTGCATGAATAACTGACCCATCAGGGAACCCCGCAGAAATATTCAATTGAGAAATAGACAAGTTTTTAGATTTTTCTGCAATATCTGCCAGGGTCCCCCTAGTAGTTTTGGGAAGGGCCTCCTCTACAGGCACCATCTCCTCTGCAGGAACATGTTCTAACTGGGTCTCAGGCACAACAGTCACAACATCATTCTTATTAAAAACACTGTTGTCTTGATCCTGGATGGTAGCAGTTTCTTCCTCCCAAGGTACTGTTGTAGGTTGACTTGTGGTGCTGATCTTCTGCTTGATTGGCACAATTGATGAGGTCAGTGGTGTTGTTGATGATGTTTTGTATGGTGAAGTCCTTTGGATAGGTCTTGAAGTCCTGGACTCTTCCTTGATTGTTTTTTGTTTCTCTGAAAAAATATAAAATTTGAATTACTAGGCTCTATGGTGATATTTTAACAACTCACTTGTGTGTTTGAAGAAACAGTGACTCCAGGGTCTCACAATTTCTTCCATGCCTAGAACTTTCCCTGAACAGAAGGTCCTGTTGAATAACCTGACCTCCTGAAAGTTCACAAGAAAAAGATCAAATACATGGTTATCTTTTCATTTCCAGGAAGAACTCACCTTCAGACCCTTATACCTGATGCAGTCCAAGTCCAAGGAGTCCCCAACAAAGTCCACTTGAAACTTGTGGAGAGCTGGTCTTCTGACTTCACAGATGTCTTCACAGGCAAGCCTGCCTCCAACTTCTGCACAGGAACTAGCTTCACCATCTTGAAGAGTCACCAACAAGACCTAGAAAATATTGAATGCATTTAAAAATCCATATTTTCACTGTTTTGGTGCAAAAACTTACCCAAAGAAGTGTAGATGTCACTGCTAGGCGAAGTCCCATTCTTGTTCCTTTTTGTTGATTTTCTTGCTTCCTGGGTGATGATTGACTTGTTTAGGCTATTATTTGGCTCCTGACGCGTTTTTATGGCTCTTTGAAGCCCTCACAACCAAACGCCGTCGGACTTTTCGCGAATTCTCGGACTTTTTACGCGCTCGACAATTACGACAACGGAGCGCGACAGACGCAAAAAGGGTCTTCTAAATGCCCTTAATAATAACGAAAAACTGCCTAGACACCAAAAAACCCAAGAAAAGAAAGCAGGACATTAAAAAATTAGCACCATCAGAAACTTTCACTGAGACTTACTTGAGATGTAGTCTCCACCAGAAATGAGCCACAAATGAGGCCTGAATCCTTTTGGAATGTCTCAGGAAGGAAAGAAACAAGTATTGATACCTGTTTCTTCCCAGAGTGTGACTTTTTGCCACATTCCTGTTCCCAGATGAACCCAGTGAACTCCTGCATCTGAGATCCTCATATGGGTGCCACACAAAATGTGTGAGTTCAAATTGAACCCCAGAGTGATTTCAAGAACTTTTCGATGCAGTGACATATCATATGGGAATCGATGCCCAGATGTGTCATCATTCAAAAGACATCGATTTTATTCACTTGGAATCTGGCTTTTTGCATGCGCACTTTTGGAAATGCTTATGATTGGCTCTGAAAAGGTGGAACTTTTCTTTCAATTTGTCTGGGGAGAGTTTGTGATCCAAGACTTTGTGTCCTGTACTAGAGCAATAATACCGTGCGCATTAAAACGCAGATCATGGAACGGTGTTGCATAGCAACTTGTCACTCCAAAGCGCACGAGGTCAGTTGTCTAGACAGCGGTCATTTACCTGCCCTACTTTTGATTTGGTTGCATCCTGCTTGCGCAGTCGCGTCTGGAACGTGTTGAATCTATAAAGGGTACTTGCGCGCATTGAACTAGCATTCATTCGTGTGTCTGGCGTTGACTGAGGTAAACCAGAAATATACGTATCCACTCTAACCTGAGAAGTCGTGTTTTACTTACGAACCCCGGCCATAAGAACAAAATCTTCTCGTTGAAAGTTTGTCTTAGAGAATTTACATTCACTAGATTAATTGACTCTGTAGAAAAGACGTTTTCTCCAGATCAAAAGTGTCTTAAGATAAAATTCTTACGGAATTAGGACAACAAACTACAGTGGTGCCTCGCCGTACAACCGCTCCGTCCAACGACGGATCCGCCGAACAACGGTTCAAAACCCTGAAAAAGTGTCCTGCACAACGACCATTGTCCCGCCAAACGACCATTTGTCGTTCGGCTGGCAACTCGGATTTTTACTTGAAAAATTTTTTTTTTTCCCCAAACGCCCAACTAACCTATGCTTTACATTGTTCCAGAGAATTAAGTGCAAACAAAGTGAAATATACAAGTGAAATCAAGAATGGGGCCAAAGAAAGGCAACAAACAGAAGACATCTTCCATCCGTTGAGAAATTTCAATTGAAGTGAAGCGCAAAATTTTGAAGATTGAAGAAGGGTCTAAAGTGAGTGAGCTGGCCAGGGTGTATGGATTCAACCATTCAACAATAAGCACCATTTTGAAGAACAAAGATGCAATCTTGCAAGCAAAGGTTGCAAAAGGAGTTTCCAAGATTTACAACCCCCTTCATGGAAAGCCTATCAGTGATGAGATGGAAAGGCTCCTTCTTGTGTGGTTCAATGAAAGGCAAATGGCTGGAGACATCACCACACAAGAAATCATCTGTGAAAAAGCTCGTGTATTATATGAAGAGCTGAAGAAAGTGAATCCTGGAACCAGTGCAGAGAAGACTGATGAGTTCAAAGCAAGCTGGCTCCAGGCACCTGTCCCATGGCTGGACAACCCTGTCCATCCCCTCCCGTCTCCCTACGCACCTGACAGGCCCAAGAAGCTGTACTTTCTGGAAAGGATACAAAAAGTCCTTCCTGAGATACCTGTACTCCAAACTACATCACAAGTACTGACCTGCAGCCCCGCCTGATGGACACAGTCCATCAGCAGCGTCTCCCCAATGAAGGCAATCGCCTGGCCAAATGCCTCAGCCAGCCTGACGTCCTCCCCGCCGTTGTTGTCGCAGTCCAAGACCACGTTGCCAAACCAGCATTCCCTGTCCGTGCCGGACACCGCCAAAGCCCCAAAGCAAACACAGACAGCAGCGACATCTGTGAAAATCAAAAGACACTCGTTTTAGTCACTTTGACAATTTAGCGATTTTTTGGTTTTACTCACTTTGACGATTTTGCAATTTTTTGGTTTTACTCACTCTTTAGCAGAGAATTTTAGAGTTAAAACTCTTCCAAACACTTTGCAGCACAGACAAGAAAGCACTCTGAAAAGATTGAACGCAAAACAATGACTGACCCCTCAGGAGACCCATCACTTTTTGAAAATTGTGTTGCTCCTGATGGCCGCCGTCATCTCATACAAAAATTGGTTAAAAATGGCCGGAAAAATTTAAAATAATTGAGCAATATCCTGATACTAGTAGAAACTCACCCTGAAAATTTGAGCATCTTTGGGTGAACTGCCAATTTCTGCCTCCAGGTTCTAGCTGCCAAAAAGTTTGGCACTGGCAGCTTCACTTCCTGTCGATTCCCCCTTCCAGGAATGGTAATAACCATTGCCAGATCCATGATGCTATTAAGCGCCACTCAGCATAAATGTGGAGAGGAAAAGAACTTCTGTGCACTGGTGTTTCTCACTTGTGTTTGGGTTCTTGCTTCTTATTTCTCTGAGTGCAAGAAGGGTGGAACCTTTTCTATTTTTTGTCAGGGGTGATTCTGTTATCCCGGAAAAGAGAAACACTCTTTTTCCTCCACCCTTGGAAAGAGTAATCACTCTTTTCTGTAATTTAGCTATCCATGAAAAGCTCCCCCATTCTTTCCAGTAATTTAGCTTCTGTGGAAATGTGTTCCATTTCAAAACTCAACCTTGTCAAACTAATGATAGCACAGATTGGGACAGTCATTAGTATCATTTTATATAATGTAAAATGAGGGCTGACCTTCCCAAGAATAATGATTCTTGTGAAGGTTTCCACTCTCTGCTGCACAGTGATCAGGTTGTAATGTAGAGTGTAATACATTGTATGATACAGTGGTTGCACACTGTATCATTAGACTGATGCCCCAGTAATAGTGGCAGCAACCTTGTCCTCAAGGATGGTGCCACAAAGAATGCCCTTCCCTGTTCTATTCTCATGCAGTATTTAATTCCAGGATTTCCCTCCTGCTCTTCAGAATCATTCTAGAGTTGAACCAGGGAAGTTGAGGCTTAGCTACCCTAAATACTTGTTTGAAGTAAACTGTAGTTTGTATTCTCAGTCCTCTGGACTTGAAGGTTTTTATCTGTGTTTGTGTTTGTCATTTGTGAATGTTGTCTGCCAGTATATAATAAAGTTGTATATACTCAACTCACAGTCCTTTTAATTTCTCAGTCAGGGGAAATTAGGGGGATAACAGTCTGCTTACAAGAAGGGAAAACCAGAAAGTATTTGATGACAGTGACCTTCTTAAAGGGGCTCATGATGAAGGTGTTGTCAACCTTGTAAAATTGTTCCTACTTTCATGAAGCCCTTCTGAGCTTGAACACAGACCTGCTCATTAATGCAGGATGGTGCAATCACTCCATATGCAGCCTTGTTTCTTGTATTTCAGAATATCTAATGAGTAAAAGGGCAAACTTAATACAAACCAGTTAAAACATTGTTGCTGAGCCAAGAAGATTCTACTTTTCTTTTTTCACTTGTTTATCATTGCATTATCACTTTGTTGACCCATGCAAGGATCCCCAAAATGATGAAAGACCCTTGACTAACTTGTCCCCACTCAGTGGTCAGAAACCCTCTGTTAGGAGCAGAGTACATTGTAGGGTTGTTTATTGTATCTGAAGATAAATATATATATATATATTGACAAGTCTCGGTTGAACAGTATACTTATTTCACCTGGTGACTGGGTGTCACTGGTTTGAGGCATGCCCACCAAAAGGGAGCAAACTAAATTCAATATTACCATCTTCAGGAAATCTGGTAATCTCCTCAAGAGTTGGTAATTGAGGTATCATATCAATTACTGTAAAACTGTCTTGTAAGACAACAAAGGTTTATGTAGCGCTGTGCCTAACTCTGTTTCAGAACATTCCATCATTCAGTATATACTTTAATTTTTGCAAGAAAAAATTATAAATCTCACTAATTCATATTGAAGGTCATACACACAGTTTCGTTGTTTGGATCATAGTAGATGTTGGAACATATCCTTTTCTGTCACTTCAAAGTACAGCAACTCATGTCAATCATTCCATGATTTTGTCATTGCCTGCTATATAAAATCACAATGCCAGTCATTGGCTGCCATAGTACTGAGCCATGGCAACAGTGTACCCATTACATCATTGCAAGGATGTGCACTAATTTTGTTATTCATTATATTAAATGTATTTTGGCATTTCATTCTTGAGTAACATTTTTCAGACGCGCGGAATTGTCTGTTAGTAACACGGCAGTTTCACAAACCAGAGGGAAAAAACAGAAGAAATGAAAGGTTTAATGCCGTGGAACAAAATGCTTCATCCAATGCATCACCCGTGAAAATCAGCCATTACAAGGAGACATAGTTGATGATAAAATTTACAAACATGCACAGGCAACTTGCAAATGTAATATGACGCAGATTCCATTAATGACCTTGTTATATTCAGTAATTTAACAAGTGTTGTATGAACTCACTAACCATTTGCTGAGACTAAAAAGATCACAGTTTGAAGGTATATACCCAGGAAAACCAAGTGCAGCACAGTTCATCGTCAGAAAAAGTCACTGAGATGACATGTCAGGTATAAAGTCAGAATCCAGTCATTTTGAGACATGGTAAAAAGTGACATTATGAAGACTCAAGGCAAATGCATCGCATGTGGACATGCATGAAAAAGACTGGAAGTTGACTACAAAAATGACATGTTGGTTATTGGAAGAGTGTGACATGTCAGAAATGGACGTGTCAGTGACGCAGGTATAAATGCAGTGAAAAGCTTGTATGAAATGTGGACACGTCAACGGTGCGTCAGAGAATGATGCTTTGCTTCAGAAGCACCTCAGATCCATCAATAAACATATATTTAGACAACTATTGAATGAAATGAGAAGGAAAATGTATAATCCAGTGTATGACATTGAAATGTTGAAGTGTTGTGCTCAAAATATAAAAAATTATATATCACGTTCTGAAACGTCACTCAAATTTTTTGGGTAATTTTTTCATATTTCACGTTTGAAAACGTGAATCAACATGTAGGGTTATAGATTTGAGTCACGTGACATATAACATTCTTTTTTATTATCAACCCTAAAAAAGTGCATTATATACATATATACAGATATGTTTATCAACAAAAAAAAATTACATTTGCATTATACAGACACACAACGCTATATTAAACGTTTTTAGGTCATACAATATGATGTATATGATGAGTAGTTGCAAAATTTGAAGTCAAATTTTCTGATTCCCAAATGTGACTTATAAATTTTTTTTCACCAAAAAAAATTTACATTTGAATTATACAAACACAAAATGCTACATTTAATGTCTTTAGGTCATACAATATAATGTACTTATATAATGTACAATATGATGTATATAATAAATACTTGCAAAACTTGAGAAAAAATGTTCCAAAAATTTGAGTCAGAAATCTTTCTTTCATCAACCAAAACAATTAAAATTTTCATCATACACAGTCAGGTGTGGTCAAGAGAAGAGACATCTACCTGCGCTGACTAGAAAAAGTCATGATCACTTTGTACCAAGAAGGTGTTGTATGGCGCTAGTCATCAACCAAAACAATTAAAATTTTCATCATACACAGTCAGGTGTGGTCAAGAGAAGAGACATCTACCTGCGCTGACTAGAAAAAGTCATGATCACTTTGTACCAAGAAGGTGTTGTATGGCGCTAGTCGGCTCAAGTATGGCAGCGTCCATGGCACTGCTGGTTAGAATCCTATTTCCTTGCAGTTTCTTTTAAGATGTGAACAAATGTGTTTCTTGTGAACAACTATCCTGTTTATTTTTTTGAATAATTTCGATTATCAGTGATTTGTCAATGATTTGTTATTTTTCCTCTCCAGATTTGTGCAAAATAATGTTTAACTTCGCTGACTTTGTGGGTTTGCCAAAATGTTGTACATACGATATTGGCGTATCCGAGTATGAGAGGTTTGGTGAATTCATCACAGACATCTTCTTCAAAAAACGAGCATGGATGGACGGAATCTTCAAACTCAAGTGTACTCCGGAATTGATAGAAGCCTTGGACCCCCAGGGGAAAGGAATTGTCTCCTGGACATCTGAAGAAGACGGAACACTGTGGTTGCAAATCTGCAAAAAATCTGTGGGGAGAGTGTTGGAGCAGGAACTTGAAAAAGTGCATGAGCGTGGCATCTATGCCAGCTACATGAGTGAATTGAAATGTGATGCAAAGAGTGCACAGGAATTTTTGGACTTGGCCAGGGAAGAAGGATTGATGCATCCCTATTCCCTTGGTGGGGCTGGATGTAATCTCCAACCTCCTCCAGAAAGTGACCCGCGGAGAACTGAGAAGCACTCAACTGAAGTTGAGAACCTCAAGCAGTACTGGTCTGCCCTTGGATCAATGCAAATTGGTGAGAAGACACCAAAAATGAAGTATGTGACCAAGATGAGTGTTCCAGAAGTGGATTCTACAAGACTGGATGAAATTCTCAACCAGCAAAAGAGGCCAAGTGATGTAAGTTTACTTCATAGCATGTTTCAGCTCCTCAGTACATTTTATTATTATTTATAATTTTTTTAGGTGCATTTCTGTCCTGATCTTGTTTACCTGCCTGGATCTAAGCTTGGTAACTTGTTCAAGAGTTATGATCCACCCCAGGTGATTGAAGGTGTCAGCTCTCCATTTATCTTCATGGGGACTAGAGGTTCATGATTCTCAATGCACACCAAGGACATGGACCTCTTCTCCATAAACCTGCATTGGGGTGGATATCCCAAGATTTGGTAAGTTTAATGAAAGTGCATTCTTGTAATTCTTGTATTAAAAATTTCAATAATTGCAGGTACAGCAGGGGTGCACGTCAGGTTGCAAAGTATGAAAGCATTGTGGAAATTGCAATTGGCAAAGACTTTCCACAATGTGGCAACCTTCCCCGGCACAAAATCTACATCTTCGATGAAACTTGGTTGGACCATCATTGCCTGAATGCATGTGTGGCAATTCAACACCCCTACAAAGTCATCATCACCACACCAAAAGGACCACATGGAGGGTTCAACACTGGGCTCAACCTAAATGTGGCTGTAAATTATGCAGTCCCACTTTCGGTTGATTATGGTTTGAGGGCAAAGTTCTGCTCTTGTGAAGGGTGAGTTTTCAAGCATGATAAGCCATTTTTTTTACTTATACCTAATGATTCTTTCTTGAATTTGTATTGCAGATCACATGAGAACAATGTCCAGTTTCCAATGGAACCATTTGTGCGACACTACTGCTCTCCCAATTGTACAAGGAGTGGATCAAGAATGGACTGAAGAATTTCCCTTGAAACAGGCCTGACTTGACTGCCAGTAGAATTGAGAAATATGCTCCTCCTCCAA